GGATCTCTAGCACTTGAATACGCTATCTGGTGACTAAATTCAAAATTAGAGTAGATAGGTCGAATTGCTACTATGCCACGCCCCCTCCCCCTGCCAGAAATCCCAATACGTTCATTTATAATATCTTTGTTTACTTCAAATACTAATTTTGTTAAAATCTTGTTATTTTGTTTTCTCGTCTATATTTGAATAAAATTGCTAACTTCCTTTCGTTATTTCTTACATAATTATTGTTAAATTATCCAACCACTACTATATATATATATATATGTGTGTGTGTGTGTGTTAGTGTGTGTGTATAAGATCTAGGAATGAAATTCCATAGAAATGAGTAATTTGACGTTATGTCACGTTACGTTTAACTCGCATTAATTACTTTACACATATCTCAGTTTACAAGTATTTTAACGTGTATCTTCTTCATCTGATTATAAAATTGAATGATTTATCTTGAAAAATATTCTTATATGAATTATATAAACAAAAACCAAAAAAAAAAAAAAAAAAAACCATCAAAAAAACATCATCCAAATTGTTAGACAAGATTTAAAACGAAGTAAAGAAATTTGATTATCTTTAAAACTTCATGGTTACGTCAGGGTTTTGTCAAGGTTTTGTCAAGATTTTGTCAGGGTTTCTGTATAAAACTCATTTAGAATCTTGTTCTTCTTTTTTCTTCATATATTTTACAAGTAAATGATTGGTTGTTTAAAGAATAAATGAAAAACTTGATGGTTGTTCGAAAGAAATGAGAATTTCATTCTTAAATCTTTAAAACTTCAGAGTTGTGTCAGGGTTTTGTCAAGATTTTGTCAGGGTTTCTGTATAAAACTTATTTAGAATCTTGTTCTTCTTTTTTCTTCATAAATTTTACAAGTAAATGATTAATTGTTTAAAAAAATAAATGAAAAACTTGTTGCTTATTAGAAAGAAATGAGAATTGGTCGGTGTCAATGACCGACAACATAGAAACTCTATACGTAAAGATAGACACACACACACACACATACATAAATATATATTTACAGGAGAGAATAGTTAATACCCCTACTTTCTCTAACATACCATAGGTTTAGTCGATCTTAATCATCACGAGGTTGGTAATTATTACGGTACGTTTATTAGCAAATTTATATCCTCACACTCCTATCATATTAATATTTTACTTTTTTTTTTATTATATTAAATAACAATTGAAAATCTTGGTAAAAATTTATCAATCCTTGTTCTGAATAAAAGGTGGATGATTTTTTAAAAAAAATATTCTTTTTCATTTGGAATCACCCCCAAAAAAAAAAAAAAGAAGAAGAAGGGGAATCGTAGGTTTGTTCAAATGATTTTTGTCAAAAAACGTTAGAAATAAATTGCTTGATAATCTTAAGAGAAGGGAATGATATCCTTCGTAGGTAGGGAAAGGGTGTGGGTTTGGTAAAAGGATAATAAATCTTTGACGAGAAGGTTCTGTTGCCGGATTTTTCATTCGGTACACGTCCTTCGACGAATTTGCAACAACAGTTTCCAGTTTTGTTCCGAACTTGTACCAGCTGACCTTCGTGTCTCGCTTTCTAGAAGATCATCGAACGTTTTCCTTTTGATCATTTTCTTTTTAGCTTTTTTTTTTTTTTTTTTTACTATTTTTATTGTTGTTACACTTACGATTATTATTAGGTGGATTTTATAATTCGTCATTAAAGTAAAAGTTAATTATAAGATTGATTTATCTATACAACGAAATTTAGGAAAACTTTTTGATTCATTTATATAATATTGTATTATGTTAGAAATGAAATGAATATTTTTCTAATTATAAATAGAAAATAGAAAAAAAAGAAATAATACAGGTGTATATACCTTTAATTAATTTTTATACATTTTTAAGAAAAGTATATAAAATAAAATTAAATTAAATAAAATTAAATAAAATAAAATTAAATAACATTAATAAAATTAAATTAAATTAAATTAAATTAAATAAAATTAAATAAAATTAAATAAAATTATATAAAATAAAATTAAATAAAATAAGATAAAATAAAATTAAAATAAAACAAAATAAAATAAAATTAAAATAAAATTAAATAAAATTATATAAAATAAAATAATATAAAATAAAATAAAATTAAATTAAATAAAATAAAATTAAATAAAATTAAATAAAATAAAACTAAATAAAATTAAATTAAATAAAATAATATAAAGTAAAATAAAATAAAATTAAATAAAACAAAATTAAATTAAATTAAATTAAATTAAAATTAATAAAATTAAATTAAATAAAATAAAATAATAATATATAAAATAAAATAAAATAAAAAACATTAGACTCGAAATTTGTCAAGTTGACCTTTTTCAAATTGACACAAAAAATAATACAGGTGTATACACCTTCAATTAATTTTAATACATTCTTAACAAAATAAAATAAAATAAAATAAAATAAAAAAAACATTAGACTCGAAATTTGTCAAATTGACCTTCTTACAAATTGACGAATGGGTTTCCCCTTGGGTGAATTTTATTTTTATCATTGATTAAATCAATATTTATTTATAAAAAATAAAAAACCATGATATAAAGAAGGATAACTACTACTGTTAACTACATGTAAGTCAAAAATTTTTCCATTACGTTTTAATTTCGTACAAAATATACGAACATATTATACATACGAGAAAAATAAATTCATTACACCGAGAAGTGGACAGAAAAATACAAAAAAAAGTAGAAGAAAAAAAAAGAAAAAGAAAAAGAAGAAGAATAAAAAAAAAAAAAATGTTTCTTCTTACGAGTAAGGAAATGATTAATTACTGTTAAGATGGTGACCTTACACGATTGCACATTTATTCTCAACCTGAAGCTTGTTCCGATGATCAATTTTACACACACGTTCTACTTAGTTTTTCTCTTCGTATGTTTCAAATAAAACGAAAGAAAAAGAGAACCCTCTTCCTCCCCAATTACTTCGGTTTTATGATTAACAACTTTAATTATTGTTTATCACGAATAAAACTAAGAATAAAACAAAAAAAAACAAAAAACAAGTAGATTGTAACGTCATTATAAAGGAATAATAACAAGAACTTAGATATTTAATATTAAAATGTGCTAATTTCTTTCAAGATTAACCAGTTCCGTATAATCTATTCATAACAACTAATATGTAACTCATTTTTATACGATTATTCTTTTTACTTTGTTTTTTTTTTTCTTCTATTATTAAATAATAATTTGTAATAAAAATAACACGGGCATATTTTCTTTAAAACTTTTGTAGTTATTGTAATAAATTTATATTAAAATTGAATCAATTTAATTGTACGTATATAATAAAGTTGAAATTAACTTAATAAAAATATATATATATATATATATAATAAAATTAAATAAATTTATTAATAAATATATATTAAAATATATATGTAATAAAATTGAATTACCTTATAACAAAAATATACAATAACATTAAATTACTTTAATAAAAATATATAATAAAATAGAAATAACTTTATAATAGAAATATAATAAAATTAAATTACCCTAAATAAAATTCAAATTGGAAAAGAAAAAATACAAAAAAAAAAAAAAATTATAAAAAAAAAACACTCGAGTATAAAAAATTAGAAAAAAAAGGAAAACCCTTTTGTTAATTAATAAATAAATATAAATAATATTTAAATAAAATGAAATGAATTAATAAATAAAATCAAATCAAATCAAAAAATATAAAAATTAAATACACAAAAAAAACTCCACACAAAATCAAATTAGAAAGAGAAGAAGAATAACCCTTTTTTTCTACCCTACCAGATAATTAAGATAAATATCAAAATGTTAAAAAAAAAATAAAAATGATAAAAATGAGAGTTTTGAACTCACCCTTGGCCCAACCAGTAAGGACATTCCCAAGATAGGCGACCTTATAACAAGGATCATAGTCGGTTATCGAGGCATTGCCCCTGTGTCTCTTCCACAATCTTCCAAGTCCTCTTTTCAAGGATCTTAGAGTTCTCTGACCAAATTCTTTGCCAACTGCAGTTCCATGCCCTGAATCGGTATTGTCCTTCTCCTCGTCTACGGGATCGGCAACAACGTCGCCCAACGTCTTCATCCTGTCTCCAACAAACAACTTCAATCCTTTCTCCTTTGGCCTTCAAGTAAAAAAAACAAAACCCCTTTTGTTTTTTTTTGCTTTTTTTTTGTTTTGACGAGTAGGGCCCACTACAAATTATTATTCCCTTTATTTTTTATTGTTGTATGTTTATCGTTTGTTTGTTTGTTTGTTCACTTTTAGAATGTTACCACCAATTTGATCAATCACTTTCACAATTCACCACCACTATTGTTGTTGTTGTTGTTGTTGTTTATTTATTTTATTGTTCTTTAAATTCGTCACTATTTATTATTAATCTTGAGATTAAATTTTAATATAAATATGCCTAATTATATTTGTTTCGTTAATACGACAGGCATATTTTTCAATCCTTTTGATTTATGTCGGTTTGTTTATTTGTCACATTTACCAGACTACATTATACTATTTTTTTTACTATTACTTTATCTTTGAATTGTTTATTATATTAATAATAATATTTAGGTTTTTTTCGTTGTTTTTTTCTAATATTGAATTTTTTCGTTAAATATTATTTTTCTATTAATCGATGAATCCTTCTTCTTCTTCTTTGCCACGTAACCAACACGTGTGAATTCTGTAACCAAAAAACAAAAATAATAATTATTATTATTGTATTAATTGTATTAATGTATTTTATTATTATTGAAGTGAAAATTTCTGTAGAATGAGGGTGATTTGAAAAAATGTAACACGAAGCGGTTAGGCGGCGGCGATGTAACGGAGCGGTGGAAACCAATGAAACGTTTGCGATACTAAATAAGAAGAGAATACAATTATCCTACAACAGATTTTTTTGTATTCGTCTCATTCTCTCGAAACGATCATTGTTAATGATTACGTTAATGAAAATATAATATATAGAATATATGGGTGCCCCGCCATGCGTTGCTGTGGCTCACAATCAGTCCGATACCTTTGTTAATAAACAAATAATTCGCAATAAAATAATAATTGCAATTATAAATTGAGATTATAAACTATCCTATCTTTCAAATTAGATGAAACTGCAAACAATGTGCAAAAATTTCATTAAAATCGGTTCAGTAGTTTAAGAGTTCATTGCAGACAAACAACGTGACACGAAATTTGTATATATTAACATATCCTATCTTTCAAATTGGATGAAACTGCACACAATGTGCAAAAATTTCATTAAAATCGCTTCAGTAGTTTAGGAATCCATTGCGGACAAACAATGTTACACGTAATTTATATATATATATATATTAAGAAGATAAGATGATCAATGTGTTTTTCATTCTCAACATGTAAAAAAAAAAAATGGATAATAAAATCATAAATCTAAATTAAATAACATCGTGTGCAATATTAACATTTAAACTGAAATAAAAATTTGAATAAATACTCCACTCCCCTCCCCCTTTACCTCTTACCCCAAATTTATAATCATTTCTCTCGTTCTTTTTATTTTTTTATTTTTTTTTGAAACGTACACCCACACTTTTGCAAAAAATACAAAAAAAAAATATAGAAAAAAAAAAAAAAGTTTCTTCTTTCATCGATCAGCAACTAAAGAAGCACGAATTTAAGCACCGAGTTTGAGTTTCAAACAAGCAAATCGTTGTACGTTCGTGACTTTAAACTGAACTAATCGTACGATCTGACTCATTCTCTCTCTCTCTCTCTCTCTCTCTCTCTCTCTCTGATTCTCTTTCTTTCTATCACAAGTTCTAGTGCTTCTTATCCTGACGGAAATTACGGTTTCCAGAGGAAGTGTAGTCTACTGAGTGTGTTTGTAATTTCCAAAACCAAAGTGACCAAAGAGTTTGAGATTCGACGAATATATTAAAAGAAAACACACGTGATAATTTCAGATAATAAATTTTACAAAGAATTATTATTATTATTCTTATCATTAAAGATTACAAGTTTGTCTTTTTTTTTTGTTTTTTTTTTTTTTTGTAAGAAATTAAGATATGCACGAATTGTACAGATTTGTCATGATTTGTGTGTCGTTAGATGTTGCAATCGAATTGATTTGATTTGATTTGATTTGAATTTTTGATTATATTGTTTGATTTAAGTAAATAAACTAAAGGATTTTGTGATAAAAATCTAATAAATCTTTCAAAGTATTGAATGATGAGAATATGTGATAACAGTTTGGTTGATGATTACTTACAAAATTTCAAATTAATACATCATTATTTTCATTCGTGAATTATTCAAAAAAAAATATGAAATTCCATTTATTGCAGATATTATTATTCGTATCAAGAATATTTATTACACGTTTTGCGTAATATATAAATGATAAAACAAAATAAAAAAATGATCATAGTTAAAGTGTTAATCAATATTTTATTCACGATTGCGATATATCACATTGGATTTCACAATTGGACAACTGAACGGAAAAAACAAATAGTCTCCGCTATTTTTAACAAAAACTTATTTCTTAAAAAAAAAAAAAAAATAAAAAAAAAATATTTATATATATATAATATTTAATATTATATATATTAAATTATATTATATTATTTAAAATTTTTTTTTTTATTAAAAATGATCAAACATAAAAAATAATAATAATTCCTGTGAATATGAAATAAACGATTTTTATTATCGTAAAATAATGTAATGATATTACGTCAAAACTATTAGCATAGATAATTATTGATCTGCTTTTTTTTCTATTCAACGATAGAAACAAACACAAAAAAAAAACAGAAAAATCACGTAAGAACGTTGGATCATATTAAACATTCATTTAATCATTAATCAATCCATTGACACGACACCACCCCACAATCATATCAACAATAATTATCTGAATTAATCGTGAAATCATTTGATCTTATAATTTGTCATTTAAATTAAATACGACATCGAATTATTTTCTCAATTTAATTGAATTTTGCTTTTTGTCTAACTGTTTTTAATAATCCAGAAAGAGAAAAAATGATTTATCAATTAAATAATAATAAAAAAAAAAAAATAAAATATATAAAACAGAAAAAAAAACACACACACATTGGGCTATTAATAAAAAGTTCTTTCCGGAAATACTTATCTTTATATTTATCTCTCGATATCTATATCTTATTAGATTATTAGATTTTTTTTTTTCCACTCTTCTAAATGCAATTTTATCACTAATTGTCTTTTATTGTTTAAGAGAGAGAGAGAAAGAGAAAGAGAGAGAGTTATTGTTTGTACATTATCTTTCATCAAATAAAATTAAATATTATTATTATTATTATTATTATTATTATTATTATTGTTCATTGATGATTTCTTATTATGATATTAATATCTATGATATATTATATATAATATTAATATCTATAATAATTATATATGATATTAATAAAATCATAGATCATTATA